AAAGTATTGACTATGACCTGCTAGCCTGTATAACTCTAGGCTAACAGAAGCAGTGTATGTTCAGCTCTAACAAAGTTTTGACCCACAAGATCTAATGCACAGTATTGCCATATTTGAAGATTATATTTCAGTTGAACCAGAAATCAGTAGTTTAAAAATGTCATTACTTTTGATATTTGCAAGCTATCAGATTAAGTAAGATGTACCTTATTGTGACATTCAACAAAACACACTAAAATTATGTATTTTGACAAAATCTTTGTTTGGCTACAAGCTAATTTCAACAATGAAGATGTATAAAATGTACCAGTCACTTTTTAGACAAGAATTTCTTAAGTTTCTCATTTGCATTAGTACTACTTGAAACAGAAAAAATAAATTGCTATAAATATTATTTATGTATGTGGAGACTCATGCCCATAAGTAACACCAGCATTCAGGATATTAAGATATGAGGATTGGGCCAGGGAGATGGCTCAGTGGAATAAGCGCTTCCCTGGCAAGCCCAAGTAGCTGAGTAGCTGAGTTCAATCCCCAGTTCTGCCAAAAAAAAAAAAAGTCACTTCAGAAACAAAAAAAAAAAGAAAAAAAAAAAAAAAAAAAAAAAAAAAAAGCGAAGATGGGGCAGGGGAAGGTGAACAAAAGGCACAAACACAATTTGGCTCAACAACAACATAACAAGCCAAAGTGGAGATGATGTCATACTTAGGGAAAAACCGGTATCATGGTGTCCTGTACACTTTGGGCAACTGTCCAGGGACTGTAGAGGAGAGATTGAACCCTATTTTTGAAGACCCAGTGTGTTTTAGAAATGCTTGGGTTCATCCTGACTAACAATTAGTAAGACACAAGGCTGCATGGGACGGTGCTGCAGTGTTTTCTAGCTAAAGCATGGTCTCCCTATTCCTAGTGCACCATGTGAACACCAATACATGGACACAGTGGTGCACTTACGTTTTCCTTGCGCTGAACCTGGCCCCTTACTTTGTCTTTCTTGGACTTGAACCAAAACTTGGATAAATGATTTGCAGATATATTAAAGTAAGGGAATCAAGCAACTTAAGAGCTTTTTTCTTTCTTTTTTTCCCCATGTATTTAGTACAGGGTCGCACTACACAGGTCGGACTCACGGTGATCCTCCTGTTTTCAGCCTCCCATGCACTGGGATTACAGGTGTGCCACCATACCCAGTCTGTTAGCCATCTCAGAGCACCCCGGGATCAAAAAATCCTGGTCCCTGTGCCTGCCTAAGCAGGCCCTTTAGTCTGCTGAGCTATCTGGCCAGCCCAAGGAATCTTTGTTAAGTGTGTGTGTGTGTGTGTGTGTGTGTGTGTGTGTGTCCAGGACTTGGGCTTGTAGCCAGGCACTGCGCACTGCATGCTGCACTCTATCCTGGGCCCTCAGGCAGGGTCAGTGCACCTGGTGGAATGGGGTAACACGAAACACTGGTGAGCAGCAGGAAAGCCACAAGGGATGACCATCTCCCCCATCCTATGGTTCCAGGGACCTCTGCCCCTTCTCCCAGTGCCATTCGACAGAACCACACAGCACAGTCTCTCTCACGCGCACACGCAGCCTTGTCTTGCGCACATGTGCATCTCACACTCACTTTGTTCCACACCCATCCCTGCACTCACTGTGACCCTTAAACGCACACCTACTTCCACCCATGCAAGGCACACATGCTCTGCCATGTGGACCAATATGCACATGTTTTGCACTTCGATGCATGTCTCTCCATGACTTTTTTCCACAAGTACCAAAACTCCCACTTTCACAACAGTTGTTACACAAACGTCTCAATACATGCATTCGTGGCTAGGGAAATAGCTCAGAGGCATAAGTGCCTGTCTGACAAGCGCAAGGTCCTGAGTTTGATCCCTGGTGCCCCCCCCCAAAAAAACGCATTCTTCCTGTACTGTATGTTTCTTGCACATGCAGTTCTACTTGTAACGTCTATTTTAGTACACATATTTGCACACAACTCCAGCCAAATGCCAATCCATTTTCTCATGCATCTTGTGTCCCCCACCCAAATGATGGCTTTCCTTTCCTGCCGTGGCACTAATAGCTTTCTCTCCAAGTCACATTTATCACAAGCGCATGCAGCATCCGGATGGCGGCCTCTATTGCCTCTATCCACTCCTACGCCCAGACGTTCAGCTGGGCGGCTCTGCACCCTGCGGAGCTGGGGAGGCCTTGGGAAGAGCCGCTCTGTGTACCTCAAGCCATTTAGAATCATGTTTCACTTCCCTGTCATTCGTTCCCATATTAAACAGGCTTCTTGCTGACTTGAGAGTAAAGTTCACTCTCTCACAATAAACATCTCTAAGCCAGGTGAGGTGGTGCACACCCGAGATTCCATCACTCTGGGAGGCTGACACAGGATGATCAGAAGTGTGAGCCCAGCCTGGCCAGCTTAATGACTTTGTGAGACCCTGCCTGAAATTTTTTATTTATTTATTTATTTATTGTACAGGGTCTCACTACACTGATCAGACTTGTGGTGACCCTCCTGCTTTCAGCCTCCCCAGCGCTGGGATTACAGGCAAGGTTCACCAACTCCGGACTCAAGTCTCTGGCTCAGCCCGGGGACAGGGCCCCCACAGCATGTGGGCCGGAGATCGAAACCAGGTCCCTGCACTTGCCTAAGCAGGCGCTTACTCCACTGAGCCATCGCGCCGGCCATCAAAATATATTTTTTAAAAAGGTGTGGAGATGTAATTCAGTGCGAAGTCTTTGGGTCTGATCCCCAGAATTGGGGGAAAAGAAAAGAATGAATGTCTAAACTGCAACACAGGCTGTGTTGTCCCTTACCCAGCCCTTCCCTTCTCTCAGCAGAAGAAAGGCGGAAGCCCCACCCCTCCCCCCAGACCGCGTTAGCTCTGTGGCTGCGGAGGTGCGAACCCGCCCCAGACTTGGCGCGGAGGTAGAAGTTTCTCCTTGGAAAACAAGACCTGAAAGCCGGCGGCACCTTGCAACCGCGTTCCAGGCGCCCGCGCTCCAGCTCCGGCGCTGAGTGGCTCTCCGGGGCAGCGGCGCCCCCTGGTGGTCGATCGACGTAGCGATGTCCTGAGTTCCATGGCTCCTCCAGTGAGAAGGTTATAGAGACAGTGGGTGGCAAGAGATCTTGGGTTTTTGTGGTCCGGTCCGGCCCGGTCTGGTCCGGTTTGGTTTTTTGAGACAGGGTCCCGCTATGCAGCCGAGGTTGACCTCGAACTCACAGCAATCCTCCTGCCTCAGCCCCTTGACTCTTTAGTGCCGTTACATCAGAGACCAGTGCAACAAGTGGGCCATGATGACTAAGTGATCAGGGACTCCTGTGAGCATAAACCCAGCTCCTAGCCACCAGCAGCATGCCACGTTCTGGGAAGACAGAGTGGCAGGAATTGGCTGGTGTATAGGGACAAAATCCTAATAAGGACCAGGGTCAAAAGTACACTGACAGGGGCTGGTGAGATGGCTCAGTGGTCTAAAGCACCTACTTAGAACAGGCTTAGCAAAGCACAGAGACCAAGGTTCAATCCCCCAGCACCACATGCCAGCCAGCCCC